CAACCCTCGGCGCCGCGCCCGCACCTCGCTCAGCCAGTGAGCGGGAACCGGTCTGTATGTGGGATCTGAACCCTCGGCGGGAGCACCACCGTGCTCCCAAGCGGCGCACTGTAGCAGTGCACCACCTGGCCGGCCCTATATTTATTTTTTAATTAAAAAATTATTTTTCTTTGTTGAAGTATAATTTACAAATAAAAACTTTATATATTTAAAGAATACATGATGAAATGATTACCACAATCAAGCTGATTAGCATATTCAGCACCTCAATGTAGTAATTTTTTTGTGTGTGGGGGGAGTATATTTAAGATCTACTCTCTTAGCAAATCTGAAGTAACAACACATTATTATTAACCACCATGTTATACATTAGTCACCACGGCTATAATGAGATGTCCAGAACTTACTCCTCCTGCATAACTGAAACCTGGTATGCTTTGTCCAACATCTTCCCACCTTCTAGCTTTACATTTCTATGATTTCAAATTTATAAACCATTTCCTCCCTCACACAGCGACTGTGTTTTCTCCTTGGAAGGCTGGCAGAATGATGACCATGCCTACGTACATTCCATACATTCAGGGGCCCCTCTCTGTGAGAGGTGCGGCTGCCTCTCCACCTGGAGGGAGCTGAATTGGTTAGCCCTGGATCAGGTTTGGGCTTAAACCATCTCAGGCTTTTCAGGCCTCAGTGAAGTTGTCTTAGAACACATCCCTTCACTCTCATGAGAAGTACCTCTTCCTGAGGATGGGTTCTGGGGCATCTGATGAAGCTGCTGGTCCTGCCTCACTCCCTCCCTTTGTTCTGAGCCGGTACCTCAGCACCACGTGCACGTCTGCGAGCTTCTGATTTGTGCTTCCTCATTTGTTTTGTTCCCAGCTGGTCAATACACTCTTCTGCCATAAGGGCAGCGCTTTCCTCAAAATGCTCTGTGCCCTTCTATAATCCTGCTGTTCACAATGGACAATGACCATCCACTTCTGGCTAAAATGAACTAATTCCTTCAGTTTAGTTCTAGAAACGACCTGCCCTTTGTGAAGAGTGGGGTATAGGAATGGGTGATGGGGTGCTCGTGCCCTGCCATGCAACTGTTCTCTTTTTATTCCTTCCCTAATTATAGTCCCGGCCATAGAAATACTTCAAAACTATAAACTACTGAAGGAACCTTCTTGTGCATCCAAATGGGGCATCATGAGGGTGAACAAACACTGGCACCTTATTCTGAGTTACATTTCTACCTCATCAAGTACGCTAAGCATCTGCCAGGCACCCCGTGGTACACGTGTGTGTTTCTGCCTCCACAGCAAGACAGGACCTTGTACAGGGTGGCCATCAGCCCTTCCATGGGCTGTGGAGCCCCCAGGACTCAGCATGGTGCCTGCAGGCTCCCAGCAAGTACTCTCTGAGTGCAAGAACAGATGAAGGGGCACTCGCCACTGACAAGTCTGAGCATGTCTGACTCAAGTTTAGCTGGTCCTTCTGTCCTTATTGTCTAGCACATGGCAGAGAGCACATATGAAAGATAACATGTATATAAATTAATCCCCAAATAATACTCTTAAAACTATTAAAAGAAATGTGTTACTCTAAACAGCTTTATTCTTCTTCCTATTGACAGAAATTTCTATCCAGACAGGATATTCTGCTGCTAAACTCACCAAGCTTAAGGTGTCATGAAGTGGTAGAAAAAAATCCTGATTAGTAAAGAGTTAGTCATGCATGACAGCTCGGCACCTGGGTTTTCTTGTAGGCTCAAATGCACAGTCCCATTATGACTACAAACAAGGGAGTATGGCAGGAACGTTGGTGCTTCTCATCTGAATCAAACTGTGCCATTCAACTGTGATATGGCACTGTGTCAGAAACTACATGCAGCCTTAGCTGTACCACCTCCTCTGATGAGCTGAATGCTCCTTACTGCTGTGAAGTCCCTCACAACTACACTTACCTGTAAAAAAGGGTCACTGCCTCTTCTTTTCTTGCTTTAGGATAGTCCTAGGGATTGCATGCGAATATCAGTAATCCCCACTTCTGTGGGGCACTTCTTCTAACAGAAACTTGTCCTGCTATCAGGGTTCCATCTTACACAGGATAAAACTGAGCTGCAGATGAGGTGGTGGCCTGCCCAAGGTTGAGGTCCTGAGGCATTGCCTAGGCCCCTCACTGCTCTGCTTGGCCCTCCCTGTGGAGTCACCTAAGTCTCCCTGATCCTTCTTTTCCCATGCACCCACTTCTGAGTCACCATGTGCTGTCTAATCTTTCTCAACGTCTCCCAAATTCATCCTCCCCTTTCACCCTGCCATTCCTCAGGAGAGGTCCCCTCACGACGGCAATGGGGTTTGTTTCCCTCCAACCACGCTGGTCCCTCCCTGGTACCTGAGGGTCCCTCTAAGCACAGACCCCCCCAAACACCCTGGGCTTCAATACCTACAAGGCCCTCAAGTCTGGCCTGATCTTCCACACCTTCTTCCAACTGCTCCATGCACTAGGTACCCCAGGTCCTAATGTAGAAGTCCCCACACCCAGGACTCAGGGCCTTACATCCTGTGGTATGCTGGAGAGCCTGTACCTGCTCACAGCAGCCAACTCTGCAACTTTTGGAAATTTTGTGAACCAGCTGACTTCTTGCTGGTGGCTTGAAACCAGCTGTGGTGGGAAACTAGCAAATGCCACAAATCAGGGCTCATGCACCAGAGAGCTGATTATTAAGCCCTAACTAGCACACCACTTGGGCAATTTCTACTCATTCTTTAAGCTCCACCTAAAGTGTGTTGTGAGACAACATTAACTCGTCAACAGCCCTGTGTGCATATCTTTGTTATGAAACCAGCCCCAACAGATTACCATGTGCATNGTGAGGGGACTTGTGAGTACACGTTTGTGTGCCTGCCCTAACTGGGTCATGCAGGAGATACCAGGAGATATCAATGAAGGCACTCCAGTTCATCGGCACTACTATCTTTCAAATGCAGATTTTGAAAAGCAAATTATATTTGATTTAGAAGAAAGAGAAAAGAAGTCTGTAATTCATGCACACTTGTGTTCACAAGAAAATGTCTTAACAAAATAAACGGCAGGCGTAAATCCTGGTGGGGGAGTTTCCGTGTATGCTGTGGTATCATCACCTCTACTACAGGGAGGGCCAGGTATTCACCAACACATCAGATCACTGCCCTGCACTCCTGGGCTCAGTGAAGCACTGACACTTGTTTTGGAGGATTAAAAACCACCTTTTAGCTCTTCTTTTGCCTTTTTGTAGAAATTAGTCATCATAATGAAGCTACTCAATTAAGCAGAAAGACTCTACCAAGATCCTTGGCAATATATACACAAAATTCTTTGATTTTAGCTTTGGTTCCCTTTTGCCCCTGTCTCTTTATTTATGATTACTTCCCTATATACTGTTTAATGAATTTGAGGAAGTTCTTTGGGATTTTTACTATAGGGTTCTAAGACTAGAAAACTAACAGCTTGCAGATCAAGTATTGCCAGACTTCAATGTGTGATGCTGGACAGTGGGCAGGCTGAAGCAAGCTGCATAGCTTTTCATATAGCCAAGACTTTCTCTCCAGACAAAAAAAATGAAGCAGAAAATTTATGAAAAGTTTAAAGGTATTTTAAACCTGGTAGTTTGATAGCACACAGTAAATTGTACTTTTATTACATTTTGCAATGATGAATATGCTAATAAT